ACCTTAAAAAATAAATAAATAAAATGAAGTCCTCTCAAAAATCTGCTGCCTCTAGGAGGCAGTCGCTCTACTAATGACCTTGTCCTTCCAAAGCGAACCTGAGCAGCGCTTTCTGTTGGCCTGCAGCCCTTACCCACAGCTGCAGAAGTATCTCTAGCTCTGTCTGTTCTCTGTGGAGTAGGAAGTGTTCTCTCACCCTCTGCTCTGTGCCTTGCCTCAGAGAGACAGCCACTGGGACATACACCACAATTCAGTGCCTCAAAGCCTGTCCCCACTTAAAGGAACCCCAGGAAGCTTACTGCACAAAGAAGGGAGAGCAAGAAATGTTGCTTTTCTTCAGACTCTTACATTCGACAGCAAGCTTCTCCTGTCAGGCAGAAATTCAGTCTCAGTCATCCCCAGGGTTCCCCACTGCACATACAAAATGTTGTGCAAAGGTGTTTGGGTTCTTACATGAAGCCAATATTTGGGGAGGGCTTGCGAGGTTTTGCCCTTCCTGGTCACTCATAAGTTGTCCATCATCCAAGCCTCCGGGGTCTCTGGACTTCTAGTGAGTTTGCTGATTCTGTGTCAAATTAGGGGCATAAAAACTTGTGCCAAGGGTGATAAATGGGGGCCTATGGTCTTCCTTTCCTGGGGATCCCACAGAGCTAGTCCCTGCTTCTGCCCTTCCTGAAGGTTCTGCCAAGGAGTGGAACAGGGTTCCGCAGCACACTGTCCTTCAGTCCTCTCCTTCCCACTTGGAGATGATCTCTTCTCCTTTCTGGACTCCCGTCCTTTCTCTGCCCTTCAGGAATACCCATTAGAAGCACCTTTCTGAATTTAGGCCAGAGGTAAATCCAGTGGGGTTGGAAGAAGCTTTGGTTGGCTCCTGTAGTGTTGTTGCTGTTGTTGTTTGCTTTTTAGCTGAAATTAATAACAAGCATTTATTTTTTTTTTAAGATTTTATTGATTGATTGATTGATTTGAGAGAGAGAGCAAGAGAACAAGCAATGGGAAGGGGCAGAGGGAGAAGCAGACTACCCGCTGAGCAGGAAGTCAGAGGACCCTGGGATCATGACCTGAACCAAAGGCAGCTGCTTCCCCAAAGGAGCCACCCAGGTGCCCCAGTAACCAGCATTTAAAAATCAAATAGGTGAGGCACCTGGGTGGCTCTGTTGGTTAAGTGTCTGACTCTTGATTTAGGCTCAGGTCACGATCTCAGGGTCGTGAGATTGAGGCCCACGTTGGGCTACGTACTGAACCAACTCCCTCTGCCCTTCCTCTTGCTCTCTTTCTCTCTCTCAAAATAAATAAATAATGAAAATCAAAGGAGTTCACATTAAAACCTATAATTCTAGCTTCTTATGGAAATCTAGAAAGCCTGGCTTTTCCTAGCTGGCCGTAAGCAGCCAGGCAGAGAAGGGCTGTCCTTTGGGAAAGAGCCAGGGAGAGACACTGTTTTGGGAGGATATCACCCCTAGAACATAAATATAGGCCAAGGTGAGGGAATATGAAAAAGCTGGTTTTCTTTGCAGAACCAAAAAGAAACAAATGACAAAATGATACATCTGTCCACATCAACTATCAAAATGGTTCCCGCATTCAGAGATTTCGTCATGGCACGAGCTTCTCACTGAAGTAATGCCAATGAATCTTCACAAACACCTATTAACCCTGTTTCACAGATGGGAAAACTGAGGTTCAGAGAAAAGCGATGGGGCCAAATCACAAAGTGGAACTTGGAACATAGGTCGGTATGGCTCTTCACTACTGGGCTAGCCTGCCTCTCTTGCCATGGACATTAGTGACCCTTCTTCGGGTGAGTAAGGGCACCCAAATTCAGTGCCAGGTTTAATGATATCAGATTCCGGGTTGAAAGTCCAATCATGTTGACACTGAGTGAGTAGGACTCCACTCTCCCTCCCTCTGCCAGAAGGAGGGAGGTCAGGGTCTGGAAGGTCAGGGTCTGGACCATGCTCTTAGACATTGCAGCTATTCAGTAAATGTGCTCATGTTGTTACTTCTGATAGCTTATCTGAAATTGTACTAAGTGCATGTGTGTGTGAGTGTATATGTGTGTGTGTGTGTGTGTGTGTGTTTAGTGAGAAGGGGAAAGAAGAGGGAAAGGACAGAGGCAGGAGAACATAGCTGCTGATCCTTCCTGTCTTGGGCCATAAATGTTGCTGGAAAGATAAGAAAGTAGAGACTTACTATAACTAAAGTGTTTTTCAAAATGTAACATAGCTTCAGAAAAAGAAAGACTTAACATGAGTCAAAATCCTTTTTTTGTTCTGGGTTTTGTGTTTTTCTGTGGGTTTTTTTTTGGTAGAAATCCATAGAAACAAAAAGTTACCTGATAGGATAAGCTTTTAGGTGGACAATTTGAATCTGCATGTTTATAATGAAACTCACCTTGTCTATTAGACAAAATTTGTATATCTTATTAGCATTTACATCAGTAAATTTAGGCTAAAATATGATGATTTATGCTAGAACTGAAGTTACTACTGTTTAATATCACACATGAAAAAATTAGATTATAGAATAACAGATAAAGAGGATATAGATGCTGGTGGACTTAAAATTCAATGTCTAGGTGGGATATATGGGAAATTTTATGACATTAACTTTGTACAGTATGTAAAAAAAAGAACCAACTAAGTTGATGACTTCAGAAGCTGTGATATGATTTTGAGAGTAATAGTGTTGTTCAGGGGAGTCCAGATAAAAGGAACTGTATGAAAATTTTACTATGTGAAAAAGTTTCTTAGTTAATTTTAATGGTTTGTCAGATTTTTCTTCTCTGATTTGAAATTATTTTCTGACATTCAGTGATGGTTTACAATCCAGCTTTTCAGCCTGAAATGTCGTAAAACAAAACAATGAGGCGTCTTGATGGCAATTTCTTAATTCTTGTACAGCTACTAACTTAAGGTCTGTTGCTGATCATATAAAAAGATAATAACTAAATGGCATTTACTACGTTTAAGTCCTGAACTAAGAAATTATGTATACTACTACTATAGAGCTGAAATTGAGGTTCAGAGAGGTAAAGTGATTTGTCGATGGTCACCTACCATGTAAATGGTAGAATTAGGTCCCAAACTCTGACTTCCAGGGTTTTTTTTTGCTTTGGAGATCCTTGGTCTCATTGCTTTAGCCTCCTTTTTTTTTTTTTTTTTTAATTTTTATTTGCGAGAGAGAGCACGAGAGGGAGGAGGGTCAGAGGGAGAAGCAGACTCCCTGCTGAGCAGGGAGCCCGATGTGGGACTCAATCCCGGGACTCCAGGATCATGACGTGAGCCGAAGGCAGTCGCTTAACCAACTGAGCCACCCAGGCGCCCGCTTTAGCCTCCTTTTGTCTAGGGTTTAAACTAGTGTTTTACACCATAAGAAGCTTGTATTTGGCTTGCTGTTGTTGATCTGTTTGCTGATCTCAAGTATTGTCAATCTGGACATCTTCACTAGACTGCTCAACAGGTGATATGTTAAATAATGACATTGGTCTTGTATGAACAAAATTTAGACTGTGGTAAACTCCACAGGATACATGACCAATTTCTTTAAGAAAGAGTTTCAAGGGAAAAAAAAAGAAGTGAGTACCTCTACATGAAAAGACACAAAAGGCAGATCAACCAAACACACTGTGTTTTGGAACCTCTTTGGATCCTGATTTGCACGAAACAATGGAAAAATAATTATTAGACAATCAGGGAAATTTGAACAGTGTACAGTTAAGGGTTTTAAAGAATTATTTTTAATTTTTTAGGTAAAATACTGCAATTGAGATTAAGTAATATATTGAGATATTCTGTTTTAAAGGTACATATTGAAAGAGATGAGTTGATACGATGTTAGGGACTTCCTCCAAATTAACGGAGCAGAGGAAGATTGGTCTTTAATCGGTAATTGTTGAAGCCGTGTTTTGGGTACTTGCTGGTTCACGGTATTATTCTATATCTACTTCTGAGTCTGTTTGACATCTTACACAAAAGAATGCATTGTTCAACGATGAACCCAAAGTAGATCATTACTTTGGTTTTATATTGCATAATGCTCATCTCAGGCAGCTCTGAAGGGGATGGAAAGGGTCTTAGAAGTCGTGTAACCCAATGTGCACATCCTTCTCCTTCCCTTTTGGGCACAAATGGGGGTGGGGCGGGATTGTTTTTTCCTCCTTACTCACCCCCTCCACCCGCCCGAGGTCCAGTTTCAAGCTACATAACCTCCAAAGGATTTCTAATCTTCCCTAAAGCCTGAAGGTTTGGGGGGCGGGGGAATGCCTTGTTTAATTCGGGTCTTGATTATGCTAATTACTTACCCTGTAGTCGGGGGGCCGTAGAACCTATACTTTTAATTTCCCTGCCCACGTGACAATGTTTTTGTTTCAGGGTGATTTCTAAAGTACAGGAAATTCTCGGAGAGTTTACGTCACCGCCAGCAGTTACAGTAATTACCGTAGTGACGCCACTTGTTTTCCAAAACGTGAACGATTGCGGGGCGGCGCGAGTCTTAGGGATTTTTCAGTTCAGACTTAAGTCGTTATGAAATCACTCTGTGATTTAGTTTTTAAGCAGTCGTGACGCTGGGGATCTGAACGGAGCAAGTGTGTGTGTGTGTTCTCCATCTCCATTGCTGTATTTCCCAGGTTGTGTCTGGGGGGAGGAGAAGCAGAGAATACACCACATAAGCAGTCGTGACGCTGGGGATCTGAACGGAGCAAGTGTGTGTGTGTGTTCTCCATCGTGTGTGTGTGTGTGTGTGTTCTCCATCTCCATTCCTGTATTTCCCAGGTTGTGTCTGCGGGGAGGAGAAGCAGAGAATACACCACCTTCACCCTCCTAGGGGCCCTGCAGGAAGGGTCTGCGGCAGTAGTGCGCCTGCGCAGTCGGGCCCCGCCAACGCGCCCGCCTTCCCCCGTCCGGCTAGCAGGGGGCGCTGTGAGGCAATGGACTCGTCTTCTCCCTAGGGCTCTGGAACATAGCATAAAAGGGCAGGAGGCGAAGCGGGCGGAGGGGCGTTCTATCCGCGACTGCCCTGGTCTCTATCACCCTTTGTCCTCCAGCTTTCCCCCCGGCACTGGGCCTGCGGGCCTGGTTGCTAGGCGGAAGCGGGGCGCGGCGGCTGCCCGGGCGTTTGAAAAGCGGCAACTCAGGCGGCAAAAGGTCCTCCGGAGGCGGGCTCGCCTCTCCCTGCGGACGGGCCGGGCGGCCGAGCAGGCGCGCGGCCTTTGCCTTTGCCTTGAGTCGGGGCAGGGCTAGGGCTGGGCTGGCGGCGCGGGGCCGGGGAGTGCGGCGCGGTGCAGGCGGCCGCAGGCCCGGGCCGCGGAGCGGCGTCCCGGCGTCGGGAGCCGTGGGGGCACGAGAGGGAGGAGGGTCAGAGGGAGAAGCAGACTCCC